TTGATTCTCAATATCATTGTCAGGTGTGATGTTTTGCCATCCATTTTATTGATGTTTTGCCATCTTTGCCATGATTCATTATAACCTCTTAATCGATGTTTCGCCATCGCACATTTGTTTGAAGCTGATGTTTTACCATCGCACGTGTTTATTATCCTACTTTGATTCTCAATATCATTGTTAGGTGTGATATTTTGTCATCTATTTTATCAATGTTTCGCCATCTTTGCCATGATACCTTGTTATCTTTTAGCCGATGTTTCACCATTGCATATTTGTTTGAAGCCGATGTCTCGCCATCGCATATGTTTGTTATCCTGCCTTGATTCTCAATATCATTGCTAGGTATGATGTTTAGTCATCTGTTTTATCATTCAATGTTTCACCATCTTTGACATGCTACTTTGTCATTATTTAATCGATGTTTGACCATCTCATTTGTTTGTTGTTTCATTCGATGTTTTGCCATCTTGATTGTTTTTGTTTGCCTTAACTAAAAAAACACAAACCAACCAAAATATATAAGACGAACTACGGCTGCTCTGATTCCTTAAAAGGGATACGTGGGAAAAGGGGTAGGGCCTAACCGAGCATAACTTTTATTTTCCCTACATTGTTTTCTTTTTCTTTTTCATGCATTCCCTTTTCAGTTTTAAGCCATAGACATAGGATTTGACCACACCCATTAGATAAGACAACAAGAGTGGATACCGTAGAATACTACGGGCATGTGGGGTGCTAATACCTTCCCCTCGCGTAACAGACTACCTTACCCGATCTCTCGGTCGAAAGACTGTTATTTCTCCCTTTTTAGGTCTTCTCGATGTTTACCTTTCCCTTTCGACGGGATAAAAGACGTTCGGTGGCGACTTCATTGATGTTTCATTACATCCAGATGACAGGTTTCGACCACGTGTTTCAAGTTGGACATGTAAAGGCAAAAGTGTTGCTGGCAGACAGATTCCAAAGGGAGAAAAATGTGAAAACAAAAGGAAGTGGTAGTTCAAGTCGACCATTTGCGCAGTCTGCGGGCCCAACTGTGAATGTTGTTGTTGTTGGCCAGAAAAAGAAGAAATAGAAGCCAAAGGCTATGGAGGTTTGAAGCTACAAGAAACACAAGAAGGGGGGTTTGAATTGGGTTGCACCAAATATAATCTTTTTGCAACTAAAAAACACAAAGATAACAAGTGAAATAAAAATATATGAACACAATTATTTTTATCCTGGTTCATTGTTAACTAAGTTAGTCTTGTCCACTCCGTAAGGTGATTTACCTTATACACAATGACTTAATCCATTATGATCAAACAGATTGCAGATAACCACAATAAGTGAGATAACCCTATTGGAACCCCTAATAAGTTTTTTGATCCTTATTGCAAGCCATTATGACCGCAACCAAAGTCTTCTTGAGAATCCAGACTACACAGAGTCTCTTAAGGAATCTATCAGCAACAAGTGATTACAAAGATGTGTATACAAAGATGCTTCTACACAAGCAAGATACGAGCAATAACTTTTTACTTATTTACCAAACTATACAAAATATTTCTCTACATAGTTTTTGTGCAGCAGTTTAGTTTAGTTTTGTTAAACTGATTCATTGAATTCAAATGCTTCCAAGTATTTCTTTTATAGAGGAAAATAAGAGATCCGTTGGAGGTTAGAATAAGATATAAAAATACAGTTGTATTATTCCCAACGAACATGGTGAGTCTGGTAGACAATAGTACAAAAAGGTATGTCTTTACATCAATCTAGAAAGTAGAGGCCATAGTGTTCTTTTGTATTTTTATACTTACCATCACACGCAATCACTTAGTCTTGATATTTGTCTTCTATGTCTTCAGAGGCTTATGATATGTTTTTTGATGAAACATGTTGTAGAAGGATCAGAACTAGTATCTTCAAAAACCTAAGTCATTAGAACCTTTCACAACTTTTTCAGAGAACTCTTGCCTTCTCAAACTTCAGCACTTGGTAAGTCACAATCAGAAGGCCTCCAAAGCTTCCTTGAGTAAGTCACAATCAAAAGCTCTTTTACTAACATTTCTTAGAACCGTTTCATAAGACGCATTCCTTAATCTTGACTTAACATTCTAACAGACCAAAGGTATTCTTATAGAGTGTTGAGTTCAGAACTTGATAACGTCACACGCCTTCTTACCAGAGCCAGAACCTGTATAGAAAAATCCACACACTAGATATAAACCTATTAGAGTACACAATTGTTCTCAAAGATAACATATAAAGTTATCATCAAAATATAAGGCCAGATGTAGAACCAACTTTGTTCTTACAAGGTTAAGGTTATTGTCTCTCAAATATCACAAGCTCCACAAACACAACCATCTCAGAAATATATTACACTTAAGTTGGTATATTGGTTTAGGAGCATGCAATTTATAGTTTTAATGTGCTGTCAATGTATGCACCACAAACATAACTTTCTTTTTGCTATCATTATGGTACTATTTTGTTGATGTAATGACAATTATGTTTCATTGTAATGCCTTAATCAATATTGGATATGTTCAATGTTTATCTAGTTTCAATTAATCTATGTTTGGTTGCAAAATTATCAGTGATTTATGTTTGGTTTAATACAACTATCATTTTCATTCAAACATCATTTAAGTTCAATTGAAAATTACAACAAATATAATTTTCATTCAAACATCATTTAAGTTCAATTGAAAATCACAACAAACATCATTTTCATTCAAACATTAGTTAAGTTCAAATGGAAATTACAATACAAAGCAATCCTAAACCCATAACACCTAACATATAACACCAAAACAAGAACACGTAAACATAATCGTAAACCCATAACACCTAACATATAACACTTAAACATAATCCTAAACCCATAACTCCTAACACAAAACACCTAAACAAGAACACCTTTTGTAACACCCCAATTTTAGTAATTATTTATACATATTATATTAATTAATTATTTGTTTAATTTTGTGAACAAATGATTAATTGATATATGTGTTATGTGATGGGTTAGTCGTGTTAATACGAATAACTGTAGAATCATAGTTAGTTTTGATGTCGGTTAGTAAATAATTATTTTATTAGTGATAATTGTATAGAAAAAATATAAATAAGGTAAGTGGGTCTATTTTGTGATATTGTGATGAGTAATATAGGGGTGTGTGTTAGTAAACCCATTAGTGGTTACTAGAGTTAGTTTTGTAAGGCTTTAATAAAAATTAAAGAAATAGAGTTAGTAAGAGATTAGCAAAAGAGAAGAGAAAAGGTTTTCAGGAGAAAAGAAAAGAAGAGCGAGAAAGAGGAAAAGGGCAAGAATGCAAAAGTTAGGAGAATCCACCTAGAACAAGGTAAGGGTGGGTTTTCATTTGGTTATTAGGATTGTTGATAATGCATGATGGGTAGTGGAATGTATTAAGATTGATTTCTCTAGTTTTCCATGTTTTGAATTGCTTAGGTTTTGATTGAGAATCCATGGAATTTATATGTGATTATGTTGTGATGTTTGTGTTGATAAATATATGTCGAATACATATTTTAGTAGCTTAAATCGTGACAAATTGGATGTTAAAACATATTTTTGGGTCAAGGAATTGCATGGGTTTATTGTTGTCATCGCAGCAGATTTTTCTAGTTTTCATAGAGGGCACTTAGCGCGAGATGACGTGTTTAGCGCAGGCAATTCTATAAGTCGGTGCTGGGAGCACGTTTAGCGCAACCTGGGAGATGAAAGTTTATATTTTTCTTAGTTTGATATGAGATTATGTGTCTTTACATTTTATAGTAATTAATATTTAAATTTATAATTTTGAAACTACTCATTTGATGTATTTTGGAATGCTTTTTGTTAATGAAGTGAAACTTTGTTTATGTGTGAAACATGAATTTTGTGAAATTGATGTTGGATTAGAATGATACTTTGCATATTTCTTAATATGTGTTGTGATGATGTTTTGGAGTAGTGATACCATGAATATGAATTGCGTATGAATAATTCATGAGTATGTGGTTGTATGTGCAAGTTGTGGTAATTCAAGTGTGATGAATTATTGAAGATATGCATGGAGATAAAGATTAGAGAATGTTCTTTATTTGCATATGGTTGTTTTAATTGCTCATGCAACATTTTTATCAAGAGGAAATTCTTGTTAGTTCTGTTAGAGCTAGTGACTTGTCCCAAACCTAGAGAATGCATTTTTGGTATGTTATCGGTATAGAGAACAGACTCAGTTTAAAGTAAAAAACAAAAAATGCTAACAAGAGATTGGTACCACATGCATGAGTATTACATTTGAGTTGCATTGAGTCATATTGTGTCTATATTTGCAATATGAGTTTATGTGAAATGTGTGGAATTGATAAGAACTGTGAAATTTGTGAATCGTGATTGAAATAATTATGAATGATAAGTTGGGTGATGTAATGTTTATAAAAAATATGAAGTGTAAGAATATCGTGTATACTTGTATGTTAATCATTATGTATTATTATACGATTTTGATAATTATGTGAATTCTCACCCTTTTGTTGGAATTATGTTTTATACGACATTGCTCAAGTAGTGAAGAGTAGAGTTGCTTCTAGCAAGATAGAAGCGGATGTAGTAGCTTATTTTATTTTCATAGTTTGGTTGAGTCATGCTCTGGTCATGTAACACTAGGGAAAGGTTTCAACACATGTTTTAAAGAGGTACTTATGTACTCTATTTTATTTGTTTTTATATTTTGAGTATGTGGTTATTTGGTTGTTATGCCTAAGTTATGTCAATAAAAGAACTGATTGTGAGACTTTAATATTATGTTTATTGAATGGGGATTACTCCGCTGCTACATGTTATATGATAGTTTATGAGAAGCATGAATTAAATAAGTGTTAATTGAGCATGACAGGTGTTTGTATGTTTTGAAGTATGTGTGACACCCTTGTTTGAGAAGCATGTTATAATTACTCTAATTTATGACATAATATATTATAGGGTTTTAGAGTGTGTTACACCTTCAGGCCTTCAAGTTAACAATACAGAGCAATCCCATATAGACCACAACAGCTACAACAACCAATCCTTGGAAAAACTTTAGCTTCTTTTTCAAATCTTTATTTTGTTCCAGCTTTATATTATCCTCCTTCTTAAGTTCATCAATTCTCTTCATTAGTGACAAAATCACCTCCTTTGCACACACAAACATTTCTTCATCGTACCAATTGAAGAAATTACATCCTTTTCGTCCCTGCAACTACATTCACAAACAACGAACACATTATTAATTATGGGTTTCATATAATGATTATACCTTAGTTTGACATAATATGGGTTTTACCTTGTATAACCCACAACCACTAAACCTATTCCCAGGCTTCTCACTTGTCCATGCAGTAGTGAAAGGTGAATCAAAATCACAGAAGCAACATACATATCTTCTATGTGATGCACAACTCTTACTGGACACAGTGTGTGATTGTGACATTTTCGAGCTTGCAAACGAAAACAATTAGTAAGAAGATGGAAGCGGGTAGAAAACGAGGAGGGAGAAAACAAGGAGAACACAAAATTAAGGAAGAAGTCTTTTGAATACCTTGGAAATCAATTTAAGGAATACGAAATTGAACACAAAAGACGGCATTGAAGGCAATAGACAAAATTGAGGAATGAGAAGGAATAGGTTCTGACCTAGAACGCTTTTAATACGTGAGACATTCACACTTTAGAAGACTCACATTTTAGAAACACACAAAATCCTAGAGTCTCATTTGATCATTATGAGAAATTACCATTCTTATATTTCCATATTTTTCATTATGGACATAGCACTAAGTTTAAATTTTTCAGAATGAAAACAAATCTATCTTCCGCAAGGGATTTTATTCCACTCGTTGATGGTCTGTATCATTGAATTTTAAGTTTAAAACTCCCTTCTGAACATTGTCTCATAAAAAGTGATGTTTAATTTCAATATTCTTAGATCTAGAATGTAAAATAGGATTCTTAGATAAATATATAGAAGAAGTATTATCGTCGAGAATAGGAACATTACTCTCATATATCTGAAAGTTTTCTAGCTGGATTTTCATCCAGGGGAACTGAGTCTTGCATCCAAAAGCATTAATATACTCAGCTTCTACAGTTGACAGTGCAATTTTTTATTGCCTCTGGTTTGACCATGACATCAAATTATCTCCAAGAAACTTATTGCTTCCTGAAGTTCTTTTTCTCTCCAGTCTATTTCTAGCGTTATCAACATCACAATAAGCTACTAACTTGTATTCACTTTATTTTCTATAACACAAACCAAGGTTAGTAGTACCTTTCAGTTATCTAAAAATCCTCTTAACTATTAAGTGTGATTCTCTAGGATATGATCGGAAGTGAGCATATAAACAAGCACTGGATGATATGTCAGGTCTAGAAGCAATCAAATATAATGGAGAACTTATCATACCTCTGTAGAACTTCTGATCTACCTTATTGCTTATCACTTCTTTCTTCAAAATACACGTAGAATGCATAAGAGTCTTTGGAATCTTGCACTCTGACATGTCAAACTCCTTCAGAAGTTCTTTGGTGTACTTCCTCTGATAGATATAAGTCTTGAAATTGTAGCACTCACACAAAAGATGTCAAGACTGATGTCTCAATGTACAAGCAATGTCACAACAGATGTTATAACATCTGCTGACAGAATAGCAACAATAACAACAATGCAGAAATATAAGTTGTTGAAAGATAAAGAACATAGTGATATGTTAACCCAGTTCGGTGCTTACTCACCTACTCTGGGGGCTACCAAGCCAGGAATGAAATCCATTATTATAAGTATTAATTCAAAGTTGAACTAGTCCCAAGTTTACAACTTCTCGCTTAATCCCTACCCAGTGCAACTTTTACCTAGGCACCTCTTAGATATAGAAAATAGACATCCCACTTCCAATCATCTCAATGATAAAAGACCTATCCCAGTCCCAGTGATAGTCTATAATCAAGTTACAATCACAACAATGTGAAACAAAAAAAAAACCGAAGTTTACAATTCAATCACAATAGTCAAATTCTTGCTTAAAAGCTTCGAGTAAGAACAACAACTTGATAAACTGTCAAATAACAATCAGTCAACTCCAACTTATCAAGTGATACATGAGGACGCACAAACAAAATAAACACTTTTCTGAAGAATGCTCAAACCACAAGAGTGAGAAAATACGGCTTCCAATTATTTTCATATTTCTTAATGATATTAGGTATATCTAGTTTCTTTAAATACTCCTCAACAATTATTAGGCCTTGCAGCTGCGCCCAAATATACCTTGTTATCCATGCTAAGGGCTGCACAAATTTGTGTAGAAAATTCTCCATGAATCTTGGAACAAAACACAAAATTTCCTAATTAATCTCAATCAACCAATTCTTGCAACATGTTTACATATGGAGATATTATTCGTTCCAGATTTATAATTCTTGACCTACGATAAATTAGTGAGATATAAACAACTTAAATCTCACAGAATCAATTAATGATATGTCAAGAATAAACCAAACTTCAGTACCACCTGCATCATACCAAGATGTCATGATGTCTTCGACATCTGGCTCAAAATTACATAACAGCAAACCTGTTATGGAAAATCATATTTTAGCAATATACTCTTAGCACAAAAAATCCAGGAAAGAGGAATAAAACCATAGCCAAACTGTATATATTTATACATATTATAGTACATCACCTACGTATATCGACATATATAGAACTCCCCCTGTCACACATAATAAGTTCTCCCCCTCGAGGAAAAACCCATATCATAAGAGGAAGTCTGAGCAACAGAATACTCAGCACATATACATATGATATTGGAACATCTGCTAATACATTCTTATCATCCACAAATAGATACATCAGTAGAAGCAACACAAGTATACACAAACATGAAAACTCATGCTCCCCCTTAATGATTGCATAAGCAAGCAAACACAAAGCCATTCTCCCATAAGAAGTAGCACACATACCTATCACAATGCTAAATCAACATGTCAAGACATGTGATGTAGCATCAGGACACAACACTTTACTCCCCCTTTTTAGCCAAAATATTGACAAAAAGAAACAGAGTAAATATACACAAAACATACAAACATATGGAAACACAAGATGCAAAAGCAAATATTGCATGCACTCAATGTACCAAACATGGAAGCACAAATGGAAAAAAGCTAAACACAGATGGAAACAAACCATTTGCAAGCATCAGATGTAAGAACCCACTATTTAGAAATTACAGTAAAATGGTACAGAGTGACAAAAAAAGACAATGAGTCATAAGCCGTTACAGTATATTTATCAAAACAAACAAACAAACACACAAAAAACACACAAACCATTTGCAAGCATCAGATGTAAGCACCCACTATTTAGAAATTACAGTAAAATGGTACAGAGTGACAAAAAAAGACAATGAGTCATAAGCCGTTACAGTATATTTATCAAAACAAACAAACAAACACACAAAAAACACATAAACCATTGGTGTTGCTGGTTGTTTCTCCCGCTTCACTAGTTTCCTTCAGTTGTAACATTATGTCATGTTTCTTCCTTATCAGTAACATTTTTTCTGGTCTCCAAGGCCCTGATGAGTTTTTCAAATATGGTTTTTCTTGCACAACACATCTTGATGATTTCATCCAACTCCTTACATGTACCTTTAGTTCATAAATGGTTTCTTCTTTTAAGACTGAACCAACCTCATCCGTACCAGATGTTGTAGAAACATCATGAGCATGTGACCCTAAATAAGGTTTGGAGTGTAAGAATAAAGGAGGTTTTCTCCTGCTTTCTTCATCTGATATTTTCAAGATCTTTCGATGCTGATTCAGAATTATGCTACAAATTAGAGTAGGAAAGGAAATTGGCATTTTCACAACATAGGAAATAGTGTGTCTGATAGTATTCTTAAATACATAGTTTCCAAAATATAATTTTGTCTTTGTTCCAACCATATAAATGAATTTTCCTAAATGTGTAGTTACCGATGAAGTGTGCTTGGTAAGCACCCAATTGACAGCTCCAATTGTATTTAACATAACTGTTTGACACTTAAGTTACTCACAGAGAGCTTACCATTATTTTTCCAATGAGGCACTTTGCTTGCTATGATTTCTTTGCATATAGTGTCATCAGTAACCTCCACTCTTTATTGTTCACTTTCAGTATGTTTTGCAAACATGTTGATGATCTTAGGAGAGAACTCCACGCACTTCCCTCTAACAAACACCTTGCTATATTCCCTGTTATTCATATCATCATAGTCTCTGGGAATGTTGACAATGAACTCCTTTACGAGTGACTCATAGCATTTTCCCAATCCTGCTACAATTTTGATTAAGCTTGCTTCCTCAATAAAACTGACTACTTTCTCATATTCAAAAACATATGTGCTCAACTCTCTTTCCAGCACCACCCTCCTTAGGCACACAAATTTTCATCTATTTGAAAATTCTGATGAATGAAAGGAAATATTATCAAATTCCACTTCAGGAATGTTGTGTGGAATCTTCTGCCTTCCTTCAAACTTTCTAGTAGACGATGCAACATCTTTAGAATTTTTCCGATCATCTTCTTGGTGGTTGAAAGATCAGAAAAGTATTCCTTTCTTTTTAGAGAATTTGTATGAATAGGAGGAACATCTACCTTACTTCATTTCTTTTTAAGAACTGAGACAGGAGACCTCTTGAATCCTTCCCTAGGATCGCTTGAACTTTTAACAACCTTGCCTTTACTTATTTTTTTCCTGCTCCATAGTTGGATTCTTTACCAGTTGATTCACCATCATTATCTTAATCACCAGTTGATTCACCAGTTAATTACCAGTTAAATTCTTGAATTCACAAAAAAGATGTCAAGATTATTGTCTCAATGTACCAGAAATGTCACAATAGATGTTATAACATTTGTTGACAGAATAGAAACAATAAGAACAATACAAAAATAAAAGTTGCTGAAAGATAAAGAACACAGTGATATGTTAACCCAGTTCGGTGCTAACTCACCTACTCTGGGGGCTACTAAGCTAGGAAGGAAATCCATAATTAGCAGTATTAATTCAAAGTTGAACTAGTCCAAAGTTTACAACTTCTCAATTAATCCCTACATAGTGCAACTTCTAGCTAGGCACCCCCTAGATATGGAAATGTGACATACCACTTCCAATCACCAAAGTTATAAATGATATGTCCCAGTCACAGTTACAGTCTATAATCAAGTTACAATCATAGCAACTTGAAACTAAAAAAACAAACCAAAGCTTACACTTCAATTACAGTACTCAAACTCTTGCTTAAAAGCTTCGAGTGAGAATAATAACTTGAAAAACTTTCAAGTAACTATTAGATAACTCAAATGCATCAAGTGATACACGAGGACATACAAACAAAATAGAAACTTCCCTGAAGAACACTCAGACCACAAGAGTGAGAAAATAC